TGGCCCTTAGGCATGCCCTCGCTTGATTTATTGCACTATATAATAGAGTGGATACACCACTTCCCAAGGGAAATCGGAACGGATGCCATAAATGTTCAGGTTTGCAGGGTGCAATGCTTGTCGTGCTCGATAACTCAATTTGTTCATACGGACACCGAGTTCTTCTCCCAACCTCGCAACCCATTGAGTCTCACCACATGCAGAAACTGACTTCTCCACAATGTTTCAATTCGTCGCGACATAGCCTTATGGATCTTGTTCAATTCAGTTGTAATAAATTTTGAGAAAAACTGTCCAATCCATCAAGCCCACATCCAGTTGTGCGTGTGTAAGAAACTGGTGAGAGGATTAATTATAGAATTAAGGCTGCAGAATGTGGACGTGTCCCGCCTTTCCAATGCAACCCCACAGCCACACCGTCTTCCCATTCAATCCCTTTCCCTCCGTTACCTGAACACCGGAAAATTTTCACGAAGAGCGGTCATAGACATGGGGTCAAGTAATTGCCTGGAGAACAGGTGTTTTGAATGGGAAGCGGAATAATCTATGAGTCATGAGGTACAGAAAGAGAACACGTACCTCAATGTGCTCGATTACCCAGTCCTCACATTCGGTGTCACCGCGATTTCGCAGCACCCGTAACGACAAGGTCTCGGACCGACATATGCCATGGGCTGAAAGGGCAAACGTCATTAGTAAACGCCAACCACGACAGGTCAGGCCAAATTTTGTGAGCAGGAAAAGGTAGTCCCTGTAAGCAGAACGTTTTTCCTTGGGAACTAACCAAGGAGCTGGTGGCCTTGTAATGATAACTGAGTGAAATAATCGGTATAGCTTACCTCTGTCGGAGAAATTGTCAAAGATACAGCCCGTCTCTTGTTGATTGCAAAGCACCGAGTTGAAAAATGTCGGAAAACAGTTTTCAGCTAACATGTAGATACCACGGCACACTGCAAGAACATTCGTAATCTTAACAAAGCCGTCATTCTGCGCGACGGGGCTCAGCATTGGATTTTTTTCAGGGATGTCTGGCGCGATGAATCGAAATTTACCTAGACGAACAACTTTTCCTACTAACGAGGTGGAGAAGTTGATAACAGAGTATCTTGATGGGAAGAGCCACTGAAGCTATCCTTGAAAAGTCCCTGCTGCTCATTCTAAAAGCGACATGCCTATTCAATCACTGCGATGATTTTAAATGATATCCGAATGCATGACGTAGACCGGAGCGATAGTCAATAGAGCCCTCGTTTTTCGTTGTTTTGCTTCATAAAATTCAGAATTGGATCAAACAATAGGTAGGAGAGAACATAGCTGACCTACAAACGTCGGAAAACCTCTTCAAAGCTGCAGGAGAATTACATAGTGGTGACCAAAAAAACACACTTCCCTTCACTCATAGGACCGATTTAAACACACTTCACCGAACTCATCCACCGTGCACATTCCACTCTGTTGATAATTAAAGGAATCTTGCGCGGAAAATTCTTGCACTCTTTCCTAACATGAATATGTCAGTTGTGATCACTGGAAATAGCACACAAAGTTTCACGCATGAAGATTCGGTTTCTGAAGAGAAACAAACGTACAAAAACTACACGTTATGGACCATCGAAGGACCAGGAGGCAGAGCCAGGCGAGGCATGGAAAGAAGACGGCGTTTGGCCGGCTACGTACCAGGCGACGCAATGAGAGAATCGGGTTAAAGCGCGCGATTTCGGAGAGTGGAGACGATCGATCGATGGAATAGGATGGAGTAGAAGTGTAAGATGTGAATGCAACGAAGCAGAAGGCCAGAAAGAGCTTCTAGTGAATGCACTCCAAGAACCAAGTTTGAGCATCCCGTCGCCAGCATTCGTGAAAGACGTCCGTGGGCAATTCGAACGCGTAGCAGCCTTTTCGAGTTTTCGAATTTCTAATCAAAACGAAAGCAATACTTCAGTTCTTTTCACTATTATCGTGGATAATGGCGGAAGTGGTGTAGTGACAAGTGGCGCGCTCACCACGCGAGCGGTCCGGGATCAAATCCTGGGTCGTGAGTCGCCCGGGCCAACCAAGCCTTCCATCCCTCCGGGGTCGGTTAATTGGTACCAGACTTGTCTGGGAGGATAAAAACACTGACTTGAACATCGGCTGGCCCCCGCAAGTCATTGTATAGGCCACATCGCATTCAAATGCCACTGCGAATGTACAAATGGAAGTAGAATGCGTGCCGCATCCCAAAAAAGGGATTGATCAACGGCAAATGCTTTATCCTTTATCCTTTTATCGTGATAATGAGATCTCAAGACAGTGATTTATGGCTGAAATAGAATCATGATTTTTCCGCGCAAGGATTCCTTTAATAATAGGATTCTACACGGGTTCCATTGAAGAATCTTAATCGAAAAGTGATGCAAGGACTTGAGGTCAGGGAGTTCCTCGACGGATCCTTTCTGACACTGCCTGGACTGCTCAGCAGAACTCCGCAAAGTCAGGATTACTGTCCCTAAAAAGATATCCCACTATGACTCGATCGAAAAAACTAGGTACTATCCAAGTTGTGAGCGAATGCGGTGGTCGCACTTGAACTGAGAAGTGTGGAGATTGACATCATATTAGCTGAAACGGTGAGGTGTGAATGGTGGGCTTAACTCCTGTTATGGGGTAAAGCTCAGGACATTCTGCCGAAAGAGCGTCCCGAAACAGCTACTTGTAGCGTGGATATTGTTTCTGATGTGGCGATCATCGAGCGAAAGTCCTCTTTTTTGCCCCGGTGTTGTATCCGCTCGTAACTCGTTTCATTCTCAGCGCTCAGGAGCCTTTCTCTGAGTTTTAGTGAGCCAGCTGGCTTATTCCAATTCTTTGCTGGCGTATAACCTTTCCGAAAATTCCCATCTTTATTTTTATAATGATTGAGAGCATTTTTGATCATGAGCTGATCTTGAAAATCATGTCTGTAGTCAGCTCACATCTCTATTGGAATCACCGAAAGTGCGTTTGCTCAGTCGAAATAAGTAAGGCTAAGCAAACGAAAAAACTAAATAAGTAATTCAAAAGATAAATGCAAGATACCTTTCTATTTATTATTCCTGTGAATTATGCTTACACTGCACTTGTGTTTTGGTCTTATGGAACATCAACGCAGTTACTAAGTCATTGGGATCTTTATTAATTTCTTTCAATTTCATGTAGCATTCTGATTTGTATTACAAAATAGAAAAATACATCTAACTTACTTGAACAAAGTTGCTCGTGCGCGCCCAGGACACCTCGTCACCGGGTTCTGAACAGTTTCCAAGCGGCACGAACGTCTCTGCAAGTGATTTCTCATACCGTACATTTGCGTCCAAAGCATACCTAGCAGAAGAACTGCGATTCTAACTGAAAAACTGACCAAGAGCGCATCCTCTGTTGCGCATGCCGAGTCCTTCGTCCACTTCCATTGGACCTGTGTCTTGGAATGGTACGAATAGATCTGTTGGCACACGTGAAAGTGGTTTCTTATGACGTCGTTCTTCGAGAGCATCCTCGAGTGCCTTCTTTATCATTTCACACTCTTCGCTGCAGAAATTCGGGCTGTCAGTCTGGAAGATTTAAAGGTCCACCTTAAAGGTCAGTGCTAGAATTACGATGACGTTTTACAGCACCGACAGTAGAGTTTTACGACGGCGGTAAACATGCATCTACACCATGAAAGGGTTTAGCCTAATGAGAGCTGTGAATGGAAAAGAAAGCCAAGGAGTTAACCTGGTCACCATTCTGGATAAAAAAAAATCGGATTTCTGTACGAGCAACACTCACCTCGTCGACATTATCCGAGAAAGCTTTGGCCTTTAGCAAGGGCGACACTGACGATTGCACAAAACCTCGTGACGCTTCGTCTGGTGTCTAAAAATGAAACAATAAGGGGAATTTGTCACGCATTCGATCTCACCAATGTTCAGAATAATCGCGGCTGAAGACTATTTGGCCTGTAGAAGTGATTTGTTGCGGCTGTGAGCTATCTGCCCCTACACCACTTCCGTTCATAAAACTGCAAAAAGACGATAGAACCGTACTATAAGCCGAATTTTCCATGCATTGAAGATTTTTCCATAATTTCCATAAATTTTCCATGAATTGAATTGAATTCATCCATCGACTCTCATGAGAAATTCGCTGATCTCCAAGAGGAGTGATGGAGAAAAATGAACGATTAGCCTTCTCTTTGAATCAAAGACCGTAATTTTGGGTCGAAATGCGAATTAAATTACGCTTTCGCAAGAAAAAATGTAGCGGTACGCAATTGTGGAGCATGCATACAAATGTTGAGACGAAGTGACAAGTTCGAACTCTGAGGCCTTCAGGCTGCAGCATTGGTGTCAAACACTACCGTAGTCCTACCCACAAATTCATGCTATTTCGCTTCGCCGCTACTGGAGAGGGGGACTTTATTTCATCCGTGTCGACGGATTCTTCCGTTTTTCATAAGTGAAGTTACGCTTCACAGCCTCACTGTCAGCCACAAGCGTAACAACACATCAATTTAATCCCAGGACATTGAGTTTAATTCCTCAGAAACATTCCGCTCT